AGCAGGAATTGAAAACAAGGGTGTTAGCAGGAAACCTGTGGCGAGGCTGTTCAGTGTTGCTGTTCCCAGGCAGGTACTAGAGCCCAAAGAAAGTATTTTATTACCTTTTTATTTCCCCAAAGGCGAAACAGGATGTTTCGTTATCAGAATATTTAACAAATTTGTCTGTGCTTCAAAGTAACCACCATCAATTTATTTTTGCAGTCAAAACATTTCATTTCGATATGACTGGAACAGAGTGGTTTTGTTTCTCCCCTGCCTGCCTTTGTTTGAAAACACCCTGCCTTGAAAGTTGAAGGGAAGGCTGGTCCCCAAAGTGATGCATTTCCCTCCCCTTCACCAACCCAAACAGATTGCTGAACCTGAAACATGGCATTTTCCCCCTCCTTGATGAGTTGAAACGTTGGAAAGAAAACTGACAACTGACCCGAAACAGATTTTTTTAAAAAAATATTATTTTGCTTATAGGACTGAAAAATCACTTATCCCACAGTGCTAGTTTCGTATCTTCCAGGCAAAGCTGAGTAAAACATTTCTGGGATATGGGCTGTTGTGGGAAGCTGTGAGATGTCTCCGTCTCCTCTGCCATACCAGCTGCTGGGAACCAGGCTGCTGGGTGCTGGGGACCTCTCAAGGGCTTTGGGAGCTGGTTTCATGAAGCTGGAGTTAATTCTGGTGCGGTCAAGCTGACCAGCAAGCCTGCCCTGCTTTAGAGCATTGTGGCTCTGGGGGATTTGGTGATGCTTCAGCAATATTTCAGAGGTACTTTGCCCGTGGCTCACTGGCCACATCACAGCCTGCGTGGCCGTGCAGCCATCCCAATTTTTACTGCAGACAGCCAAAGCTGCAGCTCGGGGCAGGATGTGCTGTCCTTGCAGCTGCAGCCCTGTCCCAGCCCCAGCCAGGCTGGCAGAGCTTCCTTTGGTCTGGTTGGAGGTGGCTGGGTCTGTTGTCAGGGCTGGCTGCTCTGTTTGTGTGAATAAAGCAGTTGAGATGCAGCCAGCATCCTTCTCCAACCTCAGTTTGCTTGAAACGAACTTCTTCCTCCTGGAGAGAGATCTGATTTGTGGCTTGGATATGGCTTGGGTTTGGAATATCTTTTTTTTTCCCCTTGTGCTCCCCTCCCTCCTCCTTTCCGAGGTGGCACCTACTCCAGGTCACCCTGCAGTGGCTGGGGAAGAGTTTTGGCAAGCCATGCTTCTGCCATCCATGCCCCCTTGAAGCAGTTTTGGGTTTCCCTGACCTATTTATAAGCAAAACTAAACTCATGGAAGCACCAAACCCTCTGCCTTAAAGATCAAATCCCAGCACAGTTAGGTGGTGCCAACTGTGTTCCCCTGGGAAAGGTGATGCTGGGAGGCTTGTCCCAGGGATGCATTAGGGCTGTTAGCCATGGGGTGAGGCAGGAGAAGGAGAGAGGATTGCAGCCACCAGTTTTTTTTGGCCTTCAGCTCTTTCCGTTGTCCAAAGTAGTCCTCACACAAGCAATTTGATAGACCAAATATTCTGGTGTAGTGAAGGGAGAAGGCTTCATTATATTAAAGTCAAACATACAGGACTGTAATGGAAAATTATACATTTCAGACTATGCTTGAAAGGGTGGTGTATTAGACATCACAGCGAAAATAGCTGGGTAAAGTGTTCCCAGGCTGCTGTTGTGTGCTGGCAGGGGATTGCATTATTTTTCTCCTTATTTGTCTGATGTTGTTTGGATATTTTTTTTCTCTTCCTTTTGAGCAAGGGAGACATATTTGCTCTGTTCAGCTCTGTGTTTCCTGCTGGGGACTATAAAACCAGGGCTCTCATGGAGGACCAGTGACTCCCCGTTTGGCTGATGGAGAGCACTGGGGGTGGAGAGTTCTGGCCCTGAATTCCCCCCCAGTGCCTGGGTCCCCACCTCAGAGCCCCTGTTCCTCCTCTTCCTCAGCCCTCCCAGGACTCTGGAGAGATCCTGAGCTCCCGGCACAGGTTGAGGCATTAACAATGTGGCTGGCAAAAGGAGGCCAAGCCTGCCAGGTTTTAATTAAACAATTATCTTCTCAGAATTGGCACTTTCTAACACTCCTGGGTGCACGAGCTGAATCCTAACAAGACTGGGAGAGGGGAGCTGGGGGAGTGAGAGCCTTTGAGGGTGCCCCGTGGGGGACAGGGGCACGTGGGGGTTTGGGGGTTGGACGAGCTTGGGCTAGATTGGGATCTGTCCACAGCCTCCTGATGCCCTTGGACCTGATGGGGCTCCTGGGAGCCTGTAGGGAGGTGGGAACATGCCTGGAGCATCACCTCTGGGTACACGTGTGGGTGCAGGGAGGTTTGTGCCTTGTGCTGCATGCCATTGAGTACCACGGCAGCATTTTAGGATAAGAGGCTGTTTTGATGAATTATATCTGCACTATGTCTGGCGTGACAAGGTCCTGAGAAAAGCCCCCATGAAAGCAGTGGTAGGATGAGACCGAGCATTAGTGATGCTGAGTAAGGGGTGCTTTGTCTCCCCCACATCAGTGCCAGGCAGCACCCAGCCTGGTTTGGGCTTTGTGGACTGGGATGGGTGATTTTACCCAGTTCACTGAGTACCCATCAGCAATTCAGAGGCAGGAGTGGTGCCCGTCGCTGTGTCAGCCCTGATTAGCATGGGCACATCTGTAATTAGACAGAACATCTGTAATTTCCAGCCTGGCTGAGATCTCAGGTGGGATATTTATGGCAGGAAGATGCTTAGAGGGATCTTCTCGGCAGACTGAACCTTTCAACTTGAGTTTGACAGGTACTTCAAAAAGAGAGAGCTATTTTGGAGGTACAGAGCTCAGAAAATAGAAGAAACTGTGTTTTCCAGATTAATGTATCTTTGCTTATAATCCTTTTACATAAAGCTCTGCAGAAGTGCTCAGGAGAAAGGGGGGTCCCAGGACCAGCCCCGATGTCCTGCAGCTCATAGAACATCCCTTGGGAAAAATAAAGGAGTGTGGAAAAATCTGTCTTCCAAGGGCAGAAAGGTCCATGAAAAAGGATTTGTTCCTGAGGGAAGAGGTCCATCAGTGACACAGCCCCCCTAGCAATGTTCTTCCAAGGGGAAAGTCACTGCTGACCCCAGGGCAACAGCCACGCAGGAAGGCAGTGAGCCCTGCTGCCTGCTCCTCCCTGCTTCTCCTGGAGCCTGTGCCACCGCTGTGCCAGGGACGTGCTCTTTTGGGAGGTGCTGCTGGGCAGAGGAGGGGGTTTCCCAAGCCAGGACCCCGGGGTGACTCTCAGACCTGGAGGTCTGATGTTGAGAAGCGAGCACAGGCAGAAGGCTCCTGAAGATCCGGCAGCGTTTCGTAACTCACGCTAAAAAACCAGAGCAGCTGGCTCTGGAGAAAGAGCAGTTACCAAAGCCAGGGTGCAGGACAGCATCAGTGTGGGCATCGATGGCTGCTGTCCCCCTGCCCTGGCCCTGGGAGGGACACCAGCTTCCACCCCTCCAAAGGGAATGAAACCATTTCTTGGGCTGCGACAGTTCATGCTTTAATTGGAAGTGACCTATTGCATGAAAACTGCTTTTATTTTATAATGTATGAAGAAAAATGAGATGAAAATGGAAGAAGGTGACTAAATTTTCACCAATACTTGGGTTGAACCCAAACAAATCTTTCACTCTCTCTCCAGCACATTATGACCTGTGAAGTTTTTCCAGTTCTAGTTTTGTGCCCTGCTTGCTTTGGTGGAGAGACATGAGCCGTGGGCTCAGGGGGTGGGGAGAGGACACTCAGGGCACTGCTGTCCCAGGGGGAGGGCAAGGCTGTCCCTGCATGCTGCCTGAGCTCTGCTCTTCCCCCTTCACAGGTGGACCCTTACCTGCCTTATGAGTACACCTCCGAGGGGATGCTGGAGCGGATCCACGCCTACATTCAGCACCAGGTTGGGAAACCATCCCTGTTCTCCCTGGGGGAGCTTCCCTGTTCTCCTGGCCAACCATCCCTGTTCTCCCTGGGGGAGCTTCCCTGTTCTCCTGGCCAACCATCCCTGTTCTCCCTGGAGGAGCTTCCCTGTTCTCCTGGCCAACCATCCCTGTGCTCCCTGGAGGAGCTTCCCTGTTCTCCTGGCCAACCATCCCTGTGCTCCCTGGAGGAGCTTCCCTGTTCTCCTGGCCAGCCACCCCTGTTGTCCCTGGGGGAGCATCCCTGTTCTCCTGGCCAGCCACCCCTGTTCTCCCATGGGTCCGTTCCTGCTCCTCTGGGCAAGCAGCCACTGGCCCAATGTGGCTTCCCAGTGAGGAATGCCAGGTCCCAGCCCTGTGCAGCCAGTGGCCTGGTTGCAGAGAGCACCAGAACGTGGGGGCTGGGGGAGATTCATCATGAACTAAAGGTGTTGGGGGGGTTGGTGGAGGGTGGCTGGAGGTGCTGGGGCTGGGTCAAGGCCTTTCTGTTGCACACAGTAAGGCAGCACTGGGAGGAGAAGAGGTGGCTGGTGTCTTCATCTCCCATGGCAGGGGATGCCATCTATGTATGCAGATGACCCCAACCCAAGGAGCAAACTCAGCAGCCCAAGTGCCCCTCTGTGCCACCAGCAGCCTCCCTCCCCCATCCCCAGCGCCTCTCCCCGTCCCTCCGGGCACTGACCCCTTGTCTCCTCTCCCACTAGGATTTCTGCGCCACGTCGTCTCCTCCTGCGCCTCCCAAGGCCGAGAGCCCTGCTATGCAAAGCCCCCCGAGCCCGCTGGCCCTCTCGCCCAACGGCACCCACCTGG